GCTGAAGGAAGGAGCTTTAATCTGCTCCTCGGAATCTTGATAAGAGCAGATCGATTTTAGCCCCATTAGAGCAGGCTCAGCTTATCTCCGTGTGCAGCTCGGGGATGGGTTTTAGGGAGAAGAGGATTCCCTAAATCGGGATCAGCCCAAGGTGGGTGAGGTGGGAGGTGCTCGATTAATGGGAGATGGAGTGAAGAAATGAGGCTCAAGCGCCTGAACTCCAGAGCTGGGCACGCTGGACTCAATCTCCAGCTGATGAAAGGGAAAACTTAAAAAAGAAAGAACTCCCACAGTGTCCCAAATCCCGGGAAAAGAGTTTGTGGGATCTCAAAGAGCAGCAAGGAGAAGGAGCCAGGGTTATCCTGGGACAGGATTTTGCTGGAGTACCTGAACTTGGGAGGCTTTTGGCCACCCCTGACACAGGAATTAGGATAGGAATAAATTAGGAATTGGGATTCTTGTTGGCTTGGAATCACAAGTGATGCCAAAAATCATGGAATTGTGGAATGGCTTGGGTTGGAAGGGACCTTGAAGATCATCAATTCCACTCCCTGTCACGGCCAAGGACAGCTCCCACCATCCCAGGGCGCTCCAAATCCCATCCCAGCCTGGCCTTGGGCACTCCAGGGATCCAGGGGCAGCCACAGCAAATCTGGGAATTCCATTCCATCCCCTCCCTACTTTGACAGGACACAATTCCTTCCTAACATCCAACCAGGACGCAAAAAAGGGTTTTGAGGAGCACAATGGGGATCTTTAGGACCGAGAACATCCCAAAAGCTTTGGGTTTCAGTGGAGATCTTTAGGACCGAGAACATCCCAAAAGCTTTGGGTTTCAGTGGAGATCTTTAGGACCGAGAACATCCCAAAATCTTTGGGTTTCAGAGTTTTGTGTTGGCCACGTGGTTTTCCTCAGTAGGAAAAATGCAGGAGTGAGAACACCAGGAAGAGCCGTGGAGGAGAGAGGGAACCTCTACCGGGTGCCCAGCCCAGCCTGGTGCCAATCCCAAACCCACCAGGATCCCACAGAGGTCAGGCCTCCCTTTTCCATGACCCCATAACCCACGCTCCCTGTGCCCGCTCCCAAGGCCGGAATTCCGTGGTTTTATGCAGGCAAGAAAAGGCCACTTGAGATGAGCAAAAAATAATCCAGAGGTTTATCTGATCCCGCTTAAGCCTCCCAGGATAGGGATTAAACTTTCCTTGGATAGGGAATAAACCTGCCCTGGATGGGGAATAAACCAATTTTCCTCCTGGATGGAGGCAGCCCCATCGCCATCCTCCTTGGTTGGAATAACATCTCCATTTTTGGGGAAAAACCCCAGAACTGGAGGGGCTGGCACCCCAAATCGGCTGCCCTGGGAGTGTCACCTCAAGGTGACACAAAAGGGGCTCTGCACCCCCAAATCGACTGGCCTGGGGGTGTCAC